GTGAAAAGTTTTGCACATTTTGAAAAAGATGTGTTTTTCTCGAAAAATGACATCCTTCGAGTATTTCGTATTTTTGGACTGGAAGGAAATATTTGCTGAGGCTAAAAAGTCGATTTTCATGATCAGTAGATCACGCTCTATCAAACGACGTAAAAAAAACGCGAAAAAAAAATTTTTACTTGAAGTTTGAATTGTCTGCACCTTACATATTCTCTATAGTTCTAAAATCTTCAGATGCTAAATATTATGAAAGATATGATTACAGAATCCGACAAACTACAATTTATACAGAAGATTCAAGAGTCAACTACATGCTATCGAATATTTTCTTTTATAGAGTAGATATGTGCCTACTTTGTTCAGAATATTACTTACTCACTCCTATCCACATCTTCAACGGAGCAGTTATCTGTCTTCAACACTGTGACAGTATCTCTGACATCTAAAGAGACACAAATTCGTGATAAAAATCATCAGAAAGTGGAAAAAGTTTTATTCAGTGCTGCGGCAATTTTCAAGCGTTCATCATTATTTGTTAATGGTTACATACAGACTGGCCTCCATCTCATTGAGGTCGTGTCAACGTTAGGCACGTTTTTTTACCAGCATGACCATGAAGGAAAGGAAAAAAATCCACAAAACTATTAAGCAATAACATTCTCTCCACTTGTATTTAAAACATCGTCGACTATCTTTAGAGATAAAGCACGCGCAGTTAGTATTGCCTTACTTTTCAATTTCTTTTTTTGAGATAAGAAGAGCCATTTCTTTTATCAAGAGCGAACTATTTTGAAAAATGAGAACATATTGAATAGAACGTTGTTCATTTCGAAACCATTTTACTAGACACAGACAGTTGATTTGATGCGAAAGAGATACATTCTTTTCCCAAGATATAAAAGTAAGTCAAAAGTTTACCAAAGATTTATTAAACTATATAGTATTGTATTCAATCTCACAGAATTAGCAACATCTTTTCTCGACACCATGAAAGATCTTAGGATTATTTCTATCGGATTTTTCTTCTTTTCAAATAGTTTAAACAAAACAAGATCATGTCAAGTTTTCATCGTATCCGTCAAACATGGCGTCGATCACTTGGTTATTTGGGTATATTCGGTGTCACAACTGTAACTATCATCAATACCACACTGCGGTATAATGATCATATTCAAGTGCATGATGCGTTTTCAAATCATACACATCAACAAAAAACAAGACATATTTTTTCCGGAATGCACGATCCATTTATTACTACCGATTTACATGAACTAGAACTATTTCAGAAGCATTTTTCACAATTCTCCCATTTATTTTATACGGATCGTGATATTCTGAAGCAAAAATATGCTTTAAAAACCCCTGTCAAGATTCGACCACTTACAGAATGTCCTATACTATTTCCATCATCCCTTTGTAATCAGAAAACATTGATTGTTGGTGGTCCACCAGCATTAGTCACTGGTATCTCTATGGTGAAAACTGAAAAAGATTTAACTTATATCAATGATGAACGACGAATACCGATCGCTTTCGGTTCTGCTTGGCATTTAGAACAAGATGCGGAGTCAGAAGCACCCACTACTTATCGACCTACGAGATTCCTAGTCGAACAACTCATTCGTGCCACATTTCGATACGTTAGTTATGCATCGATTCAGCAAACCGGTCACTTCCCATGGAGAACATTGGACTACGTCGGTTGGCTACGACATCCTGATCATTGGCTTGTTGGCTTTAAAATAATATTAGCCTATCAATTTTTTACTATGTTTGAAGATCGAACAGCAATGTTGAAAAAAGTCGCCGCACAATGTATTGCAAATGAGAAGTTTTTTGAATGTTTAAATCAGGAATTGGATGGCAAACTTCTTGTACCTGAAAAAGGGTCGATTTGGGTTGCCCAAACTAGTGAAGAAATTTCAGGACTGCAAGCATTGAAAACAGCTTTAGAAAACGAAGGAAGAACTTTCAGTATTTTATCCAAGGAAGAAATGCTTCAACGTTATGGTTTTGTTCCCAATGGCCTGATGTTTGGCGAAAAACAACATGATAGAGTCATATTCTCGAACTTTATGAAGATACTCAAGGATTCTATTCAAAATCAAGGTGGCAAATTTATCGATGGAACACTCACTACAATTTATGTGGACGATCAGCAATCAGGAGGCATCGCTGAATATAACACACCTGATGGTCAAAAACATCATCTTCCGTTTTCTCGCTTAATTCTATCGCTGGGTAACCAGCCAATCCTTAGCACAAATAATAGACCTTTGTTTGATGTTGTTGCTGCTCGAGGAGTATCAATATTGGCACATGTCTACGTACCCTTGGAATATCGACTACCTCCTGTTTTAGTTAGTGGTGAAACAAATGATGCGACAAAATTATCAGAAAATCCTGTGCAAGTGAAAGATTCGCAGGGAAAGCTTTACAATTTGTATTTGATGCGATTCACCGCCGGCGCCTGTATTACACCAAATGTTTCCGATGAAAGTACTGCCAACTATGACGGAACGATTGCTGTAGGTCTAGTATCTGCAATACGAAACATATTAGGTGAATCATGTCGAATTGAACCACTCCTTGTTCATGGTTGCAATCGACAAGTCTGCCGTTATGGACAGATTTCTTGGATTGAACCATTTCCAGGAATTCATGTGCAGTATGGAGCGGCTGGAGGTGGCCTCACAAGAGCACCAGATTTTGTAGCACGGTCGACTTCGCATAGTTCATCTTCTTGATCTTTCCGATCATTTGCAAGATAATTATAATTATTTACATTCATTGATTGTACTAAACTAAGAAGTAAAAATATCATTTTAAAATAAACAGAATAGTAGGATTTTAATTCCGAGAACGCAAACAGTGATTAATTGCTAGATGACTCGAAGGATTATGATTTTCTTTGCATCGTCTGCCATTGTTGCACATCGAACATAGTAGATCTATAAATTGCCTTCAGAAAATAGGAAAGGTAAGTCAAGTTCAAAATCAATCAAAATCGCTGGCTTGTAGTGCGCCAAATATGCGAATTCGAACTCATTTATAATCTAGCGGGTGATCCAAAAGTTTCTGGAAAATATTGCTTCATTTCTCATCGGGCATATCATAACATGTTTTAGAAGAATAAAAAATACCTGTTCAAAATCTACGTTGAAAGCGCTATTTAACAGTATATTCAAAAAATTTCTAGAATATCTTACCTTTGAGTAACAGCCATGTCCTTAGATGATACTAAAATGTACTACAGCTATAAACTAGTAAACTTTTTGTAAAATAATTTTTAAAAATTCAAAGATATTTAACGATGATGCAAACTTTTGTGGACAAATATGTTTTATTGTAATATATAGAAAACAGAAGTTGTTTTTCAACAACAAAGCATAAAAAACTTAATCGTACAAGTGTTAACTTACAAATTGTACATATGTATCTCGATTCACGTCTTCTGCGATTAACTTTATTTTATGCATGACTACAAACAAAACATCGTCTTGTTGGAAACTGCCTATTTTCAGTTAGATGGATCAAAGATGGAAAATGCCATGAAACTAAACGTGCTGGTGTAGGTTCACGTAACGGTCTTTCTCTTCCAAATGGTCGATACGAAATATCAGAACCGGTAGAGAAAGTTTCACTTAATGCAGAATATTAAAGTCGACACAGAGCATACAAAGAAAACAGTGTTAAGAAATTGTAATCTTCATCTTTTCCATAAAGATTGCTTTGACGAGTATACTCGTCAATAATAGTTGATGGGTTAAGCAATACTAGAGTATTTTCTACCAGGTTCGTAGAGAATTAAGCGACGAATGTAATAGAAAAAAGAGCAACAATATATGATGGAACGCATAGAAGATATTTGAAAAATACTGAAATACCGGTTCCTGTTGCCGCAATTATTGTAGATTGTTTTTCACAGACTATATTTTAGTGTCATTTAAGAATATGGCCATTACTCAAAGGCAAGATTTAATAGAAATTTTTTTGAATATACAGTTAGAACGTGTTTTCAACGTAGATTCTGAATAGGTATTTTTTATTTTTATAAAACATATTGTAGCTGATGAAAAATGAAGCGACATTTCTCCAGAAACTTTTGCATCATCCGTTATATGCGATCACCGTTTGAATTCTAAACCATGAAAATGAAATATTGTGAGCTAAAATCATATTCACGTGACTTTTCACCACGATCTTCTATGTATGATAGTATTCATTGTACGAGTAGCTACTAATTATTGAAATAATAACAGAGAAAATGATGAGAATATGTGTCGTTGTGTTTCAAAGGATGAGTAAGAGCCAGCAGTGAGAGAAATATTGCTTTTCTTTTCTTATATCGATTTGTCACATGTCAATATGGTTTCATTCTTTGAGTATCAAACGTTTGATCGGCATGCTGTGGTATGGATGTAGATATGATAGTGCGTGTGAATGTCGGTAAAGAGAAGACTTACATCTACACCCACGCCCCGCCCTAGAATAGGAAAAAGTAAACTGCAAGTAAAAATAATAAAATAGTTGGATTCAAATTAATAAATGATTACAAAACTGAACCAATTGTTGCTGATAGTTGATCGATCATGATCTTTTCATTCAAATATATATATATACATATATATGTCACAGACTGACTTCTGGGATGATATCGAAAAATAATGTTCGAATGGAATTTTATCAACGAGCAAATGAATATATTAAATTTTTTTAGAGCTCAATTCCAAGAGAAGGCATTTATTATTCTACTACCAGCAATAAATAAACAAAGAAGTCTTTTATTATTTATCATCGGAACAGAAGTCAATAAAAACTAACCACATATTATAGTGGTATATTAAATATTATATATGAGCAAGGTCTAACTCTACGAAAAATCAACACCGATAAAAAAAGATACTAGAAAAAAACATAACCTTAAAGTTTTATTCTTTTTTTTTGAATTTGGATTTCTTCCGGCAAATTGAATTTCACTTAATTATCCTTTCGAACTGTACAACTTGTTGAATTGAACCAAGCTTTAATCAAGATTAGACATCGTTTGATATAAATATATAGTATCAATTCTTTCTTCTCGTCTTTTTCGGTGGTTTTGGTTTATAAATGTTATTAAAAATTTATAGTCTTTTCTAAATCTCAACGTTACCTGACACATGTTATTTTGAGCATCGGGAATAATTCACTGCTAGAAAGTTTCCTCAATACACGTATTCGTAATGAATGCAAATATTTATTTAAAAACAAAAGCCACTATTGGGAAAGAGATAATTATTTTATTATCTTGTCATATACAAGTAACTAAAGAGTTTCATTAAAATTATCTCAAACAAGAGGAAATCGAATGAAGAAAATCACTATTTCTTGGTATCAACAAGAATAAGTTCGTGAAAACGATCAATGAATGATTTCTTGTCAATTAAGAAAGTGAATAGTTCTATAATATTAAGAAGCAATATTATGAAAACAGATTCATAAAAAATGTTGTATTACATCTGACTAACTAAATAAGAAGTGAACACATTTGCTAATAGAATCCAACTATTTTTTATTTTTACATGCAGTTATCGTCTTTCATCACCATTGTATAGCAAATACAATTGTTTGTGCTGCTTTATTGAGATTTTTCGAATATTATTTTTATAATAAAAGAGACACAATTCTAAAAAAAATCGATGTAGGTGCAGCAGAATTTTTGAATATTTTTTCATGCATTTTGGATAATGAATTATTTATCAGAGTTTATCACTTATTAGTGATGTCATAAGTTTGAATTGATGCCACCAGTCTTAAACTGCTGGAACTTGATGGGCCATTCATAGGAGAATATTTTTTGTGGCGGAACCAAAAAAATGAATTTTCTATGTATTTTACATGGACTGTACTTATTAAGAATATGTTTTAGCTTACTGCTCGAATCAAATGATTTTTCCATCATTCGATAGTGCAAACATTTGTCTACTCAATAATATTAAAAAAATGTAATTTTCTTTAAAATTGTGTAAAAAATCCTATTGCGTCTCTGAAAAACTATTCTTATTAGGAATATTGACTATACTTTTTCCTATTTTAGCGTATCTATAGTGAGTTTTTTTCTATAAAATCTGCATGTTAATTGAAACTCTTATTCTTTTAAATGAAAATAAATAGTAATTACAGCTGCTGTCAAGTACTCATTCCTACGGGAACTTTTGCTCTATGAAATCTGTGAGATGATCAAGTTTTTCCAAAATTTCGGCATCCTCGAATAAAAATTGTGGAACAACAGTTTCTGTTACTGAATTTCTTGATGAATATGGTAGACATCATTTATAATTATGTGTGTTTTGAATTGAATGATACTATACACAATTGCTTTTGTTTGAGAATACGTGCACTGCATATAATGCGTTGACTGTATAAGAGAAAGAGAAAGAGAAAAAGAAAGTGTCCTTTTCCTACTTTATCGCATCATGATCCTGCGTCATTGTCAATCTGTGAGCAATCATACAGAGACAAGGTAAGATATAAATAGCAATATTTTGTCATTATCGTACAGTTTTGTTTAAAAGCCGTCGATAGTAAGTAGCGAAACATAAAAAGAGTGATTATAGTTTGGATATCGAGAGACTGCTTAAACTCGAACTCAAAGAAATTTTACTCTAAGGTTATTAGTAAAGAAGAGATAAAAATTTAAACTTGCTTGCAAGTCAATTTATATGTGGTTCGACTATCCGTGTAAAAAAATGGCAAAAAATTTGATTTTTTCGATTTTTTTCTGGTCAAAAATCGATTAAAGTCAATTTTTTTTGTCCTTTTTTCTTTCCATGGGTAGTAAGTTAAATTTATGATTTTCTTGTATTTTTATAGAAAAGTATTTTGATTTTGAACAAATCTGACTTTATTATGTATGTCGAATTAGACAGGACGATTGACAAAATCTTTTTATGTTCGATGTAGCATCAAGTTTGTCACTAGAAAAATAATTTCAACTTTTTACGGACAGCTACTATTTCGAAAAGATTATGCACTCAAGTATCATCATGAATATCCTTCAACTAAGATCTATAACAATCAGACAAAATAGATAAATAACTCATTCGATGTTTGAAGTTTTAATCTTAGACACAGTTCGATGTGTTACACTTATTATCTATCATTCACAAATTTTCAACTTTTTCTTATGTGTACTGAAGGAAAAGAGATTAAAAAAAACTGTGAAGCGTGACGTAATTAAAAGACCTTCGTTTCTAGACACTCGTATATTGTACTAGCTCTACCAAACCAATTTCGTTTCGTTTAGATATTCAAAGCTACGTCAATGACTGCAAACGATTACGGTCATGTGAGTAAGTAAAAATGATTGAACACTACAAATGTCAAACTGATGTTGTATAGATAATCTGGATAAGACACAGAAAGCTGCTCTTAAAGACTGCTGGATAGGTCTGATAAATGCTATCAGCACTCAAACCTCGTTGTCCGCTAAGCGCATTGTTAATTCTGATTATGAGAATGAATTATTTACTTGGATTGGCTACGACAATCCGGATTTTCTTCTACTTCAATGGCTTCGTGCACGTAAATGGGATGTCAAAGCTACTATTCAGAAAATAATGGATCTGCTCAAATGGCGAATTGAATGTGGAGTTCAGGCGTTGTTGGCCAATGGTGAAAGTGAAATTTCTCTCGAAGAAGCTGCTATCGGCAAAGGTTATTTTATGGGTCATGACAAGTCGGGCCGTCCGATTTGCTACATGCATGG